AAAGAAAGAAAGAAAGAAAGAAAGAAAGAAAGAAAGAAAGAAAGAAAGAAAGAAAGAAAGAAAGAAACCCCTATGCCAATGGAGAAGCAATCTAGAATATATCACAGGGATTACACTCCTTGCCTGAGTCCAGAGATCATTTCCCAGAAAGAAACAATTAATTTGGGGCAAATTCTGAATGTTGGGCAGTTCTCCCATCGTTGCTCATTTCCAATTTCAGCCACAAGGGGGAGTCTTTCCCTTCTTCCATTCCCAACATGGGACTAAGGTAATCCTCGACTTATGAACGCTCATTTAGCGACCATTCAAAGTTACAGTAGCACTGAATAAAGTGACTTACGACCAGTCCTCACACTTATGTCCATCGCCTGATCGTCTAATGGCAATCCCAGGCACTTCGCAACCGATTCACGTTTACGACGTTCGCAGCTGTCTTCTGACAAACAAAATCAGGGCAGGAAGGGGGATTTGATTAACGACATGCAGTTTGCTTAACAGCCAGTTCCCAATTATGGTCGTAAGTCAAGGACTTCCTGTCAATCAGCTTACTTGGCAGGGGTGTTGTATTCCCATTCCCCAAAACGCAAGGCCTGCTCTGAAGACTTCCTTCTGTTGCTGGGCCACAGTTCAAAAGGGATTTTTAACAAATAAATAAAAACCAATGTGCTTTCTTCGACTCCAGACCCCTCCAATTACTAACCAGGCTTAATCCTGCTTAGCTTCGCAGCCCAGATAAGATGTCTGCACCTCCACACTGCATTTATCAGAAATGAAACCAATTAATAGACTTTGAGTGGTGCTTTTTGTATGTGGATCTTTGGTTATTCGGGTTTTCTCGTAAAATTGGAAGTATCTAGGCGACGTTTCGATGAAGTCTCATTCATCATCTTCAGGCTTGTGTCTTAGGCTTTGTGCTTCTCGGAGTATTATATATATATATATTTTATTTATATAATATATAATTATATATATATATATATATATATATATATATATATATATAATTTTAACTGGTTGCATACACGTTTCTGCATTTCTCCCAGTGTAAGTTTGTCTGTTGGAGAGAAAACAGTTGCCCACTCATGTTTAAAACTTGGAGGGGGAAAAAGGACTTGAAATAAAAACAAAGACATTGTTTTAGGAAAGGGTTCCACTCAGTTTTGTATAGTGGGATTGCAACTTTCTAGAGCTTCTCCCCAGAAAAAAAAAAATTGTGCAATTTGTGTCTTTTGTCAAATCAAAGTTTTGCAAATGTTTGGTACCTACTTCAACCTTCGACATGCAGAAGAAACAGTTTCTTTCCCTAATTCCCATCACGGACCTAAATGGGATTCAGGAATGGACTTTTTTTTTTTTTTTTTGTAAAATAGGCATTTTTAAGAAATGCAAAAGTCCCTGGCTGCTTCGGAAAATCTGTCCTGATAACAATAAGATGTCTTGAGTTGTCATACACAATGGTCACTTTAACCTTGTAGATAAAATAATGTAAAACGCCTATTTACAAAACAAAACAAAACCCACCCCAACACTTTAATATCAATTATGTAATAATTGTATGATGTACACAGCTGTAAATACATAAATATACATATAAATATATCTTTGTATCTCATACTCTTGTATTCTAAATAAAGAATCATAATAAAACATGAACAAAATATGACATCTTGGAATGAAAAGCTTTTTTAGGACAGATAGTTTATGACTGCTGTGTTCTGGGAACAAGGCAACTGGGGATTTCAAGTTTCTAGTCCTCTTTGTTCCATTTTGCTGGCCTGGGCTGATTTTTCTTTGATTTTTTTAAAGAAAAGCTCACACTCCTTTCCCAGATCAGTTTTACAATTTGCTGATTGTTTCTCAACCTCACCAACTTTAACTCCCAGAATTCCCCAGATACCATGCGTGGACTTCAGTTCCCAGAATTCCTCAGCCAGCATGTTCAGTGTGTGAACCCTGTCACAACTGGTTTCCTTCCACAAAATCTTCCAATTCTGTGATTCTATGAATCTATAAATCTATGAAATTCAAATTGGCCAATGTACAAAAGCATACACACACACACACACACACACTGTATATTGTCCTCGGTGGACTCTTCCAAAGGAAGGAAAGTACACTTACAACAATTTGTTTAATGAGATCCAAAGTTATAAAGGCAATGAAAAAAGTAACTTATGACCGTTTTCCACACTTACAACCTCCATGATCATGTGATTAAAATTGAGATGCTTGGCAACTGGTTCACATTTATGACGGTTGCTGCATTACATGATCCCCTTTTGCAAACTTCTGACAAGCCACATTCACTTAACAACTGTGTTGCTAACTTAACAACCGGCGTGATTCACTTAACAACTGTGGCAAGAAAGGTCATAAAATGGGGCAAAACTCAACGGATTCACTCGTGTGCTTAAATAAATTTAACAGTAGATCTGAGGAAATAAAGCATATCCTCTAAATGGGCACTAGAGGGCGACAGAGCACCGCTTTTCAAATAGGCCTCAAGCCTGACTGGGCTCTGTTAACCCCCAAGAGGAACAGTCTAATGAAAAGTGAAATAAAAGTTAGGTTTCTGGTTCTCAAGCATCCGTGCAAACGCAGGGCATCTCTAGCAAATTGGCAGATGGGACCGGGTCGCCCAGCCCTTCGCTCTGCCCATGCTCAGGGGCACTTTCGAAGGAAGACTTCCGGAAGAAGAGAGGGAACCCGCCCCACTTTACATCGAGGGAATTCCTTCTTGGGAATTCCTGGGAGTCGACCTCAGCGAAGAGCTTACCTGGAAAACCAACACAACCCAGGTGGGCAGACAGAGACAGCTGCGGATAGAAAGGCACAACAGAGGGTGATGAGCACAGCACAAAACATTGCAGGCCGTTCCCTGATACCTCTAGTCTAGAGGATCTCGCCAGGGCTCACTGCCTTAGAAGAGCGAGGAAAATCCTCAGGGACGACTCCCATCCCAGTCAGTCCTTCTTCACTCTCCTACCATCAGGTAGGGGATAGAGAAGCGTAGCCAGCCGCACCAACAGGCTGAAAAACCATTTCTACCTGTCAGACTCCTGGACAGAAAATAATTTCATGTCAACATAGTAGGGTGGACCTGCAGGGCCAACTCATTGTGCAATAAGTTCACATGGTGTAATAAGATTGGGACTGGGTTAGGGGCTTCTGTCCTCACTGTGAGTTGTGTGTGTGTGTGTGTTGCAGGCGTTGCATTTTCGGGAAGTGATTTAGTTAGATGAATCGGAATGGAGCTGGAGGGGACCTTGGAGGTCTTCTAGTCCAGCCACTGCTGGACTGCTCAAGCAGGAAATCCTATATATACCATTTCAGACAAGTGATTGTCCGGTCTTGGACACAATCAGGCTGTCCAAACTGGGAGTGAGGTGGGGATTCAGGGCGCCCCTGACCCTAATCCAAGCTGCCCATGGCGAGAAGCCCATGGCTTTTCTCTTTTTGCAAAAGGGGGGCCCTGCTGAAAGCAGCGACCCCCCCTCCTTTTCCCAGCGCCGCCAATGGAAGCCGGAGCTGTCCATTCTGCGCTCGCAACCCTTTCCTCTAGAACCCGCCCGGAGTAGACATGGCGCCCGCTGAGGCCGCGCGATGGTTCTGCGCCTGCGCGGCGGCCGTCCGGTGTGCCTTCAAGCAAGATGGCGGCAGTGGAGTTCAGGCTTCCCGCAGCGCGGAAGCGTTTAGCGTCCAACCTGCCCCGGAGCAGCGGCGGGGACCGGGATTTAGTGGCCCCCGGGGACACCATCACCACGGACCCGGGTTATATGCGGTGAGGGCATATAATGCATTTCCTCCGCGGGGCTGCAGTGGAGCCCAGGTTGCGCTCTGCACGTGCTCAGGAGCCCCCTTGGGTCTTGCGATGCTCTGCACGTGCAGAGGAATCGGCCCCCTCTTTCTCCCTCCCTCTCTCCCATCGCTCCAGGACCCTTTTGCATTCTGCTGCAAGAAGGGAGGCGAGAGGGCTCCTGAGCATGGGCAGAGAGCACGGAGCTACCCTTGACAGGTGGCCAAAGGGGCTAGGTGGTTGGGTGGGTTTTCCTGGGGTAGCAGGAGAGGCTGCATGAAGGAGGGTGGGCTGCATTGGGTTTCCCAGCATGCAGGTTTGGAAAGATTTTGCAGAAAAGACATTTGCAAAAGTTTTATCTATTGCCTATCATTTTTCTGTCTATCCATGTTGATCTCTCTCTCTCTCTCCCTCTCCCTCTCCCTCTCCCTCTCTATCTTAATTATCTATCTATCTATCTATCTATCTATCTATCTATCTATCTATCTATCTA